TGTTTACTTTTAATGACTATTAAACTATCAAAATATGAGGAATATCTTATATTGGGAAGAATAATATACTAAACTTGGTATAAAATGATAAAATTATTTGGCAAGAAAGGCAAACTCAAGCATATAATTAAATGGGTTTTTATTGTATTATGCTAAAACTCACAGGAAATAAAGCATACATTGACTACAATGTAATCAGTTCTTAATATTTAGTTGGTTCTCCCTTGTTTTTGATTACAGCAGCCATTCTCCTGGGCTTTGACTCACTAAACTTTGCATGTCGTGCTTAACGTATTTCCAATCCTCTTTCAGTTCTTCCCAAAGATAAGCTTCATTAAGACCTGTGTGACTTCTCACAATGCAGGTTTATAATTTCCCAAAGCTTTTCAATGGCTTTGAGGTCAGGGGAAATGAGGACGCACTTAAAGACTTCAAAATACTGAGCATTATCACTTTCATTGCATGCAACTTAGTTGCATTTCCGGTGTGTGTGTGTGGAATCATTATCGTGTTGAAAACAAAATATTTGATCTGACATTTTGTCCTGCAGGATTCCCAATATTGGTGCATTTTCAAAGTGCCTGCAACTTTGTAGATCTTTCCAAAACCTTTAGAAGCTGTTTTGATGTGGTCCCACATTCAGGTTATTTTCATCATCCAGCACATATTCAAAACCGATGGGCCAGATTTAGTCATTTTAACAATACGCCGATTGGTTGCAGTTCCTTCCGTCTGGCCATTTTCACAAAATATTTCACAAAATAACATTTTATATCACCTTATTCATTAAAATTATAAATATGTATTTTTTAGTTTAAGTTAACAATAACAAAACTGCTTTGTCACGAGACATTGAGTGCCGCATGTCAGATTCTGTGGTAAGTGGCATAAGTCTGGGGACGACACTTCCTGCACTCTTAGAAGAAATGGTTCTATTTAGAACCAGAAATGGTTCCATCCCCCGCTTCATATATGGAACTCCAAAATGGTTCTATATAGAACCAATTTTTTTTTGGTGAAAGGTTCTATTGGCCAAGTATGGAACCCCAGGGTTCTATATACTGTAGAACCCAGAGGAACCCTTTTTTTAAGAGTGTATAGAACCTTTTAGGGGTTCCAAAATGTAGCGCTGATAGAACCTTTTAAGGTTCTATATAGAACCTTTTCTTCTAAGAGTGTGCGGTAGTGGGGTGGTAGGAGTGTTTGGGAAACTTGTTAGTTATTATAGTGAGTACATAACGGATATCTGCGTCTCTCTTTGTGTTGTTCTCAGGCGACGGACGAGGACTCTCCTCCCAATAACATCCTGACCTACTCCATCATCTACGCTTCTCAGTTCAGATCATATTTCAGCATCACTGTGGTGGAGGGCTATGCAGGTCTGTGTTCAAATCAAAGTCACCTAATAATACGATTTCCCTGCTTGTTCGGGCTGTTGACGGGTTACATTAGGCTCTCGCCATCGCTCTGTGCATTAGCGGGGAATCGGATTTGTGTTTAACACCTTAAAGCGTGAAAATGCCTTTAGAGAAGCCTTTATGACCTCTGGTGTTTCATAAACGGATTATAGCTGCGTGACTTGTAAGCATGTGCTGATGTATTTGGTTTTCCCTTTTTGTTTGTTTGTGTGTTTAGTCATCACGGTGAATCGTCCTCTGGATTATGAGCAGGTCCCCGCTGGATTGATCTTTCTGACTCTGATGGCCAGAGACGGAGGGAACCCGTCCCTCAACAGCACTGTTCCCATCACCATAGAGCTGTTTGTGAGTACTACCCCTGCCGGTAACACTTACTTGAAGGGGTGTGCATAAGACTGACATGACACCTTCATAATCATGACATGACACATGTCATGAGTATGAAGGAGGGTTTATGTATGTTTAATTATGCCATTTTTAATGCAAAAATGACATTGTTTGAGATGTCTTTGTTATGACAACTTGACATAAACCAATGCCTGTAAGTGACATTACTAAGACAACACAACCTGTCATAAACATGACATAGCAGATTAATGACCTATTATTATTATTATTTTTTGTGACCTCAACTACAGTGGTATACATTGAATTTGTCATTAAAATGTTATAATGGCTTCATGACCGCCTATGTCAAAACCAACCACCTGACAGTTTAATGTAATGTTAACCAATAAAGCTAGGTGCTTTCTTAAGTTTGATTATGATTTATCATGTTTATGACATATTTATGACAGGTTGTGTTGTCTTAGTAAGGTGTCAAATGGTCATTACCAAGACACTGACAGGTTATAATGTATTGGTTTATGTCAAGTTGTCATAAAGACAAAGACATCTCAAATAATGTCATATTTGCATTAAGAATTTCATAATTAAGCAAATGACACTTAATGAAATGAACAGTCAAGTCAAGTATATTTATATAGCGCTTTTCACAATATAGATTGCTTCAAAGCAGCTTCACAGTATCAATCAAAACATAATAACAATGTTCGTTTCTTAGTGGAAAAACATCCATGTTTTGTAGAGCTGATTAAGGGTATTAATGATTGGTTAATCAATTGAAGCTAATTCAACTGAGCAATGGTGTCCTAAAACTCCATCAAGTGACCCAATGGTGTCCTAAAACTCCATCAAGTGACCTAAAGGTGTCCTAAAACTCCATCAGGTGACCCAATGGTGTCCTAAAACTCCATCAGGTGACCCAATGGTGTCCTAAAACTCCATCAGGTGACCCAATGGTGTCCTAAAACTCCATCAGGTGACCCAATGGTGTCCTAAAACTCCATCAGGTGACCCAATGGTGTCCTAAAACTCCATCAGGTGACCCAATGGTGTCCTAAAACTCCATCAGGTGACCCAATGGTGTCCTAAAACTCCATCAGGTGACCCAATGGTGTCCTAAAACTCCATCAGGTGACCCAATGGTGTCCTAAAACTCCATCAAGTGACCCAATGGTGTCCTAAAACTCCATCAGGTGACCCAATGGTGTCCTAAAACTCCATCAGGTGACCCAATGGTGTCCTAAAACTCCATCAAGTGACCCAATGGTGTCCTAAAACTCCATCAAGTGACCCAATGGTGTCCTAAAACTCCATCAGGTGACCCAATGGTGTCCTAAAACTCCATCAGGTGACCAATGGTGTCCTAAAACTCCATCAGGTGACCAATGGTGTCCTAAAACTCCATCAGGTGTGTCCAAAACTCCATCAGGAGACCCAATGGTGTCCTAAAACTCCACCAGGTGACCCAATAGTGTCCTAAAACTCCATCAGGAGACCCAATGGTGTCCTAAAACTCCACCAGGTGACCCAATAGTGTCCTAAAACTCCATCAGGGTACCCAGTGGAGAGAAAAAAAACCTTGGAGAACAGGCTCAGTCAGGGCCCAGTTCTCCTCTGGCGTTTATGAACTAGAGGCCGGATTAACATTAACTGTAAGGTAAAAATGTATATGTATGTCTCTAAACAGACTTTAAACGCGAACCTGTGATAAACGCTGATGGCGTTCACATGCGCATTAACAATTGATTGTATAGTTATGTGCGTTTGAATATATGTGCGCAGGTTTGTAAATCCCTACAAATCCATGCCTGAACAAACTACTTGTCATGTCTATAAATGTAATACTATACCTTTATCCTAGAATCTAGTGAAAATGAAGATTACAGAACTGTCATTTCAGATTCAAGTTCCTCACACACAAACAGACACAGTTGGGTGTTGTGTGATCTGTGTTCGTTCTGAATTAATTGGTTTCCTCTTAGGTTCATTGACTAGGACGGTTAATCCACAGATCATTTCTCTCTGACATTTCTCTGCTCTTTTATTATAATTCTGATTAGACACATTTTATCTTAAAAACAGCAGGGGTTTGACACATCCATGCCTGTGTGTGTGCGTTGAGCTGAATTGAAGTGGTAAAACAGTGTATGTGTCTGATATTGAACAATTTCCCATTGCCACAGCCTGTGAGTTTCCATTAAACCCTATAACAGCACTCCATCAATATATTTAATTACAACCAAAGCATTTTTTTTCCCTGTGGAAAATTAATGAGTTCATATTTAAAGACTTTTCAGATACCTAAAACGCTGATTTCCTCCCTCCTTCCCCTCTGCAGGACGAGAACGACAACCCACCCGAGTTCAGCCTCCCGTCTTATATCGTCAACATACCGGAGAATATCGTTGCAGGTGCATTAACAATTACATCATCAAAAAATGCAAGAATGGATCAACATGTAGTACATGTACAGTGCTCAAAACCTCATGACAACATAACTAGATCCCTGTCAGTGATGATTTACAGCGTTCAGCCAGCTGTGAACTAGTTCTGTTCAACGCTAATTTAATGTTTTGTGTGAAGAAGTGCTGTTTTCCATGACACACAGGCTTATAGTTTTGTTTCAGCTCTGACCACCCTCAATCAGAACCAAAGAGTTCAAATATTACACAGAAAATCGAGTTAAACTTGTGAATTTTTTTTTAAAATCTCCCACAATTATGTTATATTATGTTAATATCAGTGATTCTCATGCACACCAGACAGAAAACAGTCTGCATGACAAGCAATGGAAATGCAAATCTAGTCTATCTGTTCTGCATCATTTTGGACACATTACAAAACTCCTTGTCTCTAATAATTTCATTTTTTTTTCTTTTAAATGGTTGTTTTAATTCAGCAAGTAGGTTGTGTGCAGGGGGAAAAGAGACAGATGTTCACAATTCTCATGCATTTATTCACTAAATGCCTTTATTCCACACAATAGACTCGCCTCCAATCATCAAAGGGAAATTACATTGGCTCTGCGTTTGCGTGTGTGTCAAGGGTACTGAACACACTCCACAAAAATCTGATAAAACTGAAATCCATAACCCTGTCTCCACCCAGTGCACACATTAACCACTTTCTGTCTGAAGACCATCCCTTACACTTTGCCTGTCTGTCACTTCATGTTATGTGTTTTTCTCTTCGTTCAGCTGTCTGTCTCACGCAATCATTATCTGATGGTTTGTTTACTTCCTCTTTTCTCTTTTGACTCATGTTTTTTCTCTCTCTCTCTCTGTCTGTCAGGAGCTACGGTGTTGTTTGTGAATGCCACCGATCTGGACGCCTCTCGAGAGTTTGGTCAGGCCTCTCTCATCTATTCCCTGCAGGGCAGCTCACAGTTCAGACTCAACACGCGTTCAGGTGGGCAACGAAAAAAACCTGCCCTTTAACCTTTTTTGGTTCCCATGAGGAAAATGGCT